GGGGGGGTGGTCAACAAACAGACATGCGGACTGACCTTACCATGCAGCCTGAAAAAAAAAATTAAGTGTCAGACAAAAAAAAACAAATACAAAAAAACCCCAGTCAAATGACGACATGGAAACCACGACCCACAATTAAAGGAGGAAACAAACCCTCTAGGCAGATTATACAGCAAAGCAAACCATTAGATCGTTCGTGCGTTTTATGTTCCAGACTAAACGTCCGTCTTCAGACTTGTGAGAGAAAGTTCCACTTTGTCTGAAGACAAATATAAAATCGACAGAACACCTGACAAGTAACCATCGATCGTAACACACACACACGCATACACACACACACACACTCACACACACACACACACACACACACACACACACACTAGCTGAGCGCACAGCACCCACCACACACCCCTTCCGAGGGTCATCAGCAAAGAAGGAAACGATGCACACACAAAAAAAAAAGCCTGAAAGTTTGTTATCGGGGTGAAGAATTATGAGACAAGTTGTTGACCTTTCCTGCCAGAGAATCTCGCATGAAGGATACTTCCATTGAAGTTGTACATGAAAAAATGTAAAAGCAACTGGTGTAGAATTCTGAGAGATATGAAACGCAGGTCTAATTACGTCCGAATAGGAACGTCTACGTGCATGCGACAAGGCCAGTGTCACGATACAGCTGACTCGCGAAATAGTTTCCCACCAAAGAATTTTAAAAAATGTTTTTCGTTTGAATGAACTTGGGAAAGTGCACTGGAAGGTACATATTATTGTGGAGAAGAAACGTCGATGCATCAAAGACTTGGTTTGAAAAAAAATTTGCTATACGTAAGAGTTTTACGGCCCTTGCTACACAATAAGGTCATAAAAGTGCCCATGACTAGAGGTGGTACAAGAGAGTAACAAACATAAAAAAAGAAGGGGAGATCAGGACGATAGATGTTAGGTAGGACACACACACACAAACATACACATGCCACAAAAACATGGGAGTGAGCATGCTTTTAGCCTTTTAATAAGGCTCCCCGCGCCACCTAACGGCCCTATTAGACTTTTATTCCCAGCGTAAATCAAAAGTGTTTAAAAGATTTACTGTTTACAACGGGCAGCTGGCACCAGCATAAGGATGTTAGCCCCATTCCTGGGCGGCGATACCGATGATAGTCTTATCAGCGCTCCGCTATTTCCAGCCCGAAGAAGCCAAGAGGATAGATTCTAGATTCTTACCGCGTGGTTAGAGCGGTGTCTACTACCAGAGAGTAGTTTCATTCACAAAGAAGTGAAGGAAGAACGGGCGCGTTATCCAGATTGTTTTGAAGGTTGCGGAAGCTGTGGACGACTTTGCTGGCAACCGGGCTACGATAAGACAAGTAAGACGGGAGAAAGAAAAACGGAACGTACTTTGAGGGACGTCAAACATTTTCACTGCGCTCTTACACGATGAGGAAGGGTACTGATAGAATCGGAAACTTGAGCGTTCGGAGTTGAAAGGAGAAGCGCTTCGCCCGGCCCGAGGAGCATGCTCAGTTATACTTATATATAGAAGGAGATTGCGTGACGCTTCACACACGCACGCGCACACACACACACACACACACACA